AGAGACATGTAGAGATGTATCACTCTACTTGCTATTGATATGCTACCGGAGGGGTGGTCAGAAGCAAGGCAACATTTTTAGGTTGATTGATTGATTCTTGTAATCAATGATGTGAAAGTCTGCTTTTCTTCTTTAGCTTCTTTTGAGATACAATGCAAAATTTAACCTTCTTGACAGCAAATATAACAAAATGACAACGCCTACATGAAGATTTTGTATTATTTTGTTTTAATGTTAAACATTGACCTCCTGTCTTTTCAATATACTATTGATGTATGATATAGATTTATTCACTTTCAAATTACTAATAAAAAATGTAAAGCCTGACGCACAATGTAATGGACAATCTTTTTGTGATCCAATTTTTGAAGAAATAACCTAAACGAGGATCATCTTCATGATGAAGGGTCTAAATAGTGATGAGAATACTAACAGGAAAATTAGCATATTTAATGCTTCTCGTCATAGTAAAAGCCAAATCGTAGACAATTGCACCACTGGTATGACGTCACTGCGTTATGGAAGCACGAAATCCATTGACATTTTGATTTTATCAATCATACGACTATTCAAATCATTAACCATTAAGATTGAATGTTCATATCAAATGCTATTGCAGATCTTCCAAAATGGGATCTGATAGTGATATTGTATAGTGTGCGGTGGGTTAAAGTTCTCACGATTGCTTCTAATTATAAAGTGCAAGATGTAGCCACTGCTTTGTGTGGCAGGCTGTAATGCAAGCTTTGGTTGTCCATGATGTGGATCATGATAGAAACTTGTTTTCATATCTGAACAGGGGGGTGTTTCACAAAGACTAAGATCAACTTTAAGTTGGACTCAAATATGGCAGGCTGTTTATGCCACTGTTTGCTCTCACCAGATTGGCATTTGTCTCTCAAGGGACGTACAAATCATGGTCACAAATCTACAGAATTAATATTTTTTGATAATTCATTATTGAAGGGAAAAATATTATCTAAAGATCATAATGGTGAGAGCAAACAGTAGCATGAACATCCTGCCGTAGTTAAGTCCAACTTAAAGTCAATCTTACTCTTCGTGAAACACTTCCCTGATCATTTATGTATGCGTAGCCACTACTGCTGAGCGCATCATCGGAGTTATCGAGACTGTAACTAACTACTGTTGCTATGGTTACAATGGATGTTAAACCTTGATATTAACTTTTCAAGTAGGCATGAATGTGATTAGAATGAAAATGTTGACATGACTGGAATGTCTGGCGTTTTAATCTGAAATATGTATACTGTACCCCAGTGGTATCACTTCATATTCAAGAGGGAGGGGGTGCATGATCATTTGCAGAGTAAAAAATGACCCCCTTTTTGCAGACTTACAAGAACATTTCCCACAAAATATGACCCTAGCTTTTGCGAAAAAACAAGACAAATAGCATTTAAATAGAACCCCTATTTGTATAGCTTATCGGGTACAAATTCACAAAAAGCCTTGCTTCATACAAGGTTCCTCTTTTAAATACAGTACCCTTTTTGTGAAATGTCTTGCTCTTTTAAACAAAAAATACCCTTGTTTTTCCAAATCCTTTCATTTTCGGGAGAGAAAAATTACCCCCTTTCCCCCAGAATTTCTAACTACTGTCGAACATTTGATTACTTTTGATTTTGAAAGTGCATTTATTGTATTAACTTCAATTAAACTCAGCCATGTAGCAGGAAAAGGTTTAAAATACCGAAGGCAGGGATGGAAAGAAATACCTCATGTGAGCAGTTAGGATTAATGCCATACAAAATTATAAGTTCTGCAAGAAGTAATGAGATGGGAGCATTAATGGCTCAGTTGAGCCGCCAGGCTTAATCAGCGCCAAGCTGAGTTTAAGTTCATTAGCGGTTTGCTTGGAATCCTCTCCACATTCTTTGTTAGCTTAAGAATGCATGCCTTTGAGAAACTCCTTTAACGTAGCATGGTTGGAGAGAGATATATATATATATATATATATATATATATATATAACGGCTTACTGCTGGAATTCCATTTCTGGCGACAAGGAATTCAGACCATGCTGGTTATGAGGTATAAAGAAAAAAAGAAAGTAAATATTGATATCGATGTAACATTCCATTTGCATCATTCATATTAGGTTTATTGGGGAGAGTAGGCATTATGTTTCTGCAGCGCAAGATCTAATTATCGCATGCCTGTAATGAGCCTTGTGAATGCCATTGTCAAGGACCTCTCTTATAATACAAGGAAGTATTATAGAGAAGGAAAAAAAATCAAAATTCTTTACTTCAGTGAGCGATAAGAAAATAATGACTCATTGCTATGAAAATACTCTCTTTGCATATGACAACATTCAATTGGCTATATGAGGAGGGGGTGGGCGGGGGAATTATGCCTATATCCCTTTCTCTTTATAACTCTCTATAAAAATGGGCAAATGACATGCTTAGCAAGACCTGAGATGTGAATTAAAAGGGAACTACACCTGGGTGAATAGAAGAGTTTGAGAAAAAAATGTAATGCTACCATTTATGCAAGGTTTATGAGAGATATCATCTGTTTGGATTCGTAAGGGCATCAACACTTCTTAACATATATGACTCAATACCCTGTGACTCCAATCGGGCTATATCTGCCACTCCCAGATTCCATGACAACCTCATCTATTCCAGTATGCACACTAGTAGTATTTGTACTGCTCTATGCTGGTACAGGCTCTATCATCTGTTAAGAGCCAGAATGGTGTTAATGTTGTACTGTAAATGATTTGAGTTAATGCCCTTCTGGCTCTGAACAGACAACATATTCAAGCCAGTGACACGATCGAGAAAAAAAACAAATATTTATCCTCCCCTTCTTTTTAATGATATTACCTCAGTGATTGCATCCCAAAGTGTGGAAGATCCATGCTTATACAATCATTTTCATGCAAATGTGCATTCATGTATCCATCTACACATACAGGTGTATGTATGGATGATACACCAAAGAGATATGAGGGGCATGAAGGAGTAACTAACTACCCCCTCCCCATCCCGTTTCCATGACGACCCCTCCAATCCGACGACAACCGGTATAGGCGATGATGAGTAAGGGATGCTTGTACCATGCCTTGTAGCAGCATATCCCCTAGCTGATGACACAAGACACTGGGAAGTGCACTGACACTGTAATAGAAGCCCTATCCCAGATACATGAACCGTACCTATCCATTATATCGATCAAAATCAACATGGGCTTGTACTATTTCTCCCATTTTGTTAAATTGATATGAATTATATGCATTCAAAATATAGGAAGTGCAGGTCAGTGTTATTCCTTACTTGTAAAATGATGTAGAGAGATGTGTAGAAAGACCTACAGCATATTCGTTACCTTAAAGATATTTCTTTTGCAGTGGTGTGTGATGACATGTTTGAATTTTGATAATGCATTGATTGGTGTTTTCTTGGAAATCATGATAATTTTTCAGAGGATAATTGTTTTTTGATCTTCTAATTTCCAATGATAAATCTCCCATCTTCTAAATCCTGTAAATGTTTTGTATCTCCCTTGGCATCACATTCTAACTATTTTCTCCCTTTCTCTTTCCTATTTATCCCTCACTTTCTTCACCTATCTGTGATTATCTCGATACTAATCTATTTGTATCACTTCTAATCCCCCTCTCTCTTTTACTCATTTTCCTTATGTCTCTTTCTCTACCTTTCTGTCTGTCCGTCCGTCTTCTTTTGTCTTTCTGTGCTTTTACCATCTCCATCCTGCCCTTTCCCCTCTTTTTTCCTTTCTCCTAACCTCTCTCTCTGAATCCTGTATCCCTCTTTCATCATCATTATCCCATACTGTTAACTCAGTACCCATCCATTATTCAAATGATGCTCATAATGATCGACCCACTGACTCATCCTTGAGATAGAGAGTATCTTTGACCCACCGGTCATCATCCCCACTAGTCTCCATGATCATCATCACCCCCCCCCCCTTACAAGTCATCATCCTCGGCCTTCATGATCTGTCGTCTCCCCGAAAAGTGCTCCCCATGGGCCTAATTAATTCCACCCACTACACTCTTTAAAGTGGCATGTTCCCCGTATTCCAGAGGGCGTTCAAAATACGTACCCGCTGGCGGACGGTGCTAGCTGCCTATTGACACCAACAGAATACGGCTCTTACGCAGATGGCATGTTCCGAATGCCCGCACAATGCCGATTATCGCATACATGTGCCAAAGTAATACCAATCGCAGTTCGGTTCTAAGATTTGGCTGCTGTTTCCGCCCACTTTCGTGACGTCAGGATCGGCTGCAATCAGCTGGTTTGACGAAGGCAGGCCAGGCCGTGCGTACTTTGATTGACAGCTGTATGCAAATTAGAAGTCGATCTTCGGAACCAAGATGGCGATGACTAGAGCAGCGATAACTACAATGGCGGGAACGTGCCCCTTTAATGATAATGAAATTAATTTTGTATGCCATGATGAAAGAATGTAACTCATACCCATTACGGTAAATGGTTGTAATTCGTAGTAGAGCTTGACTAATTATCTAGGCTTATATACTAATGACAGAAAGAGACTGACTTTTATTGAACATTGTTTTAACATTTCTTATGCATGTTTTACTTTTTAATTAATAACTAAAGGATTGCTCTTACAAAAAAAATTCTGATCCAGCAACTTGAACATTTCCACTTCTGTTTTCTATTCTAAAGAGGAACATCATTCAACGAAAGCTCAAGATGTTTTTTTGTTGGTATAGATCTTTAAAATAATAGGGGGGGGGGAACCTACCCTAAACCAATAAAATGTGTCACGTCAGTAAAGTCTGTTCCATTTTCACAGATGTTTCAACAATTTATCTAAAATAGCATTATTCATTATAGAATAATATTGACATGTATGCTTTATGGTACATGAAAAAGATACATACATCCAGCACAAATGATTGCAATTATTATCCTAATTATCACTATATTTTAATTTTTTTAAATTTTGATCTCTTTTTGTGTCATTAACAGGAGATGATTCATTGGGATGCTGTGTGTACTTCTTGATGATCTGCTCATATCTCGTTGTTGCTATCACATTTCCATTTTCATTGTTTTTCTGCCTCAAAGTGAGTATAAACGCATTGCTGGGGGGTGTTTCACAAAGATCCTAAGGTGAACTTATCTCTAAGATGGACTTTGAAAATATTTTGTAAAACTTATTTTAAAAGGCATAAAATGTTGACTCAAATCATTCATATTTTCTTTTATCAAGGAGATCTCATGTTCTTGATGTGGAATTTATGAAAAGTGGGAATATATTTTATATTTTATTTTAAGGCTACAAATGGCTCTCCATAATGTTTAAGTCCAACTTAGAGTTAAGTTTGACTTAGGATCTTTGTGAAGCAACCCCCATGTCATTCACAATCTGGCTTACTTCGGGAGGTCGCGTTTTATTCATTAAGTATTTGGGATAATGTTTGTGAAGAAAAAAACAACTCTCGTCTACAAATGGTCTTGTTCATTTTACAAAACGTCGCATCCGTAACGTGCATCTTCACATGATTTTCTGCTATTGTGCCACCCCAGACCTGATGATTTGAAGTAAGCCAATGATCAGAGTAATTGTACACCTAAGCTATGATACCTCGACACATTACGATTAAACATTACGGTATTAAAATACCCAATTTAAGTAGGCTTATGCTATGGTCACAAAGGTTTGTACGAACGATAATTTCGAACGAATCTTCCTGTTTTTCCATTGTCAGAAAATTATTTGTACGGCGTTCGTAGCAGTTCGTAATGGCATTTGTGACTGGCTGAATATAAAGTACCTGTGGTTGGGCATTTTTAAAAAGTGCTCTATAAAAATATTTGTTAAGTTTTTGATTATCTTGATATTGAAAGATGTGGTCTATTTTATTTGAGAGTAGAAGTTCTTGAAAAGGCGTGATGACTATATCAATGGCCATGTGGGATGACCCAATTTTTATATTTATATGAGAAAATATATGGACATCAAATTTTAATGCAGTAGCTATTGTAGATTAAAAATACATGATCATTCAATTCTTGGAGATGTATTTCTATCCCGTGGCATCTATTCATTTTCATATAACGTCCGATGGAAAGGCAACCCTGGGTATTCTCAGATGCTGTTGATCAGTTGGTGTGCATTTACGTTCATGCATGGCTGAGCATGCATGAATGATTTAAATATTTCATGGAATTTGCCACCTTCTCTCCAATATTTGGGGCAAAACAACATCAAAACTGTATACAATATATATGATGGCGATAGCTGTAATGGCCCACATAGTCATATATTTCTTTTCATTAAAATGAAAGGCTTATACCTCATATTGCAAATTCCTGTTTTTATTTTCTTTCTTTCTCTCTGTCTCTATCTCTCTCTTTCTCTTTCTTTGTTGAAGAAGTATGCATAAAATTGGTAAATGGGTCTATACACCTAACATGCATATTAACAGTATGTCTATTGATGGAGTTCTATACTTTGATTGTTGCTATGTCTGGCAAGCCTCCGGTAGCTTTAGAATTTTCAAACAAAGTATGGACAATATCACTAAACAGGTCTATTATAAATCTAAATACATGTTCTTAAAATTTTAGTACATGAAGGCTATCAAATTTAAATGCAGTTGCTGCTACATGCTTGTCATATTTGAACTCTCATCTTTAACCTTTGACCTCATGCAGGTCGTCCAAGAATATGAGAGAGCAGTCATCTTCAGGATGGGTCGGCTGTTACCGGGTGGGGCCAAAGGGCCAGGTATTTTCTTCATTCTTCCATGCATCGATAACTATGTCAAAGTGGACCTAAGGACAGTTTCGTTTGATGTACCCCCTCAAGAGGTAAGATAAGAACAGGTTTGATCGATCAGACCCTCCGTGCATGGTTCAAGCTGTCATTTATTTCAATTACTATACCTGCATTTAAAAGGTTGGTTGTACAGTGAATGTCAATGACTTCTGTGCAACTTGATATATGAACAGTTTCTGATAAACCTTTAAGAGGATTTTGAACTTAGTTTCATTGAAAGTTATTTGTTTGAACTACTTGCATTTTAGACAACCTTTAACATGTATACTAGCTGTTCATGAAGAGAAAATGAAAAGTTTCAGCCAAAATTATAGTTAAATATTGACAGTTCTGGAAAGGATTTTGCAACCACTGGAGAGAAGAGAATGAGAAAAATGTATTTGAAATAATCTTACCATGAATATGAACTCGGCGGCTTCAAGGTATAGAGATAATTGATGCATGTTTTTTATTTGCTGCCTGAAATTTTGTCCTGAAAGATATTTGAGTTGATGTTTCAATTTTTTTTGAAAAGTACAAGTGAAAGTCATGAAAACAAGTGCTTTCTTGAAATTATGACTGTATGGAATAAAATGTGTATTAATTAAGAATCTAAGGCTGTATAAAGTTGCACATACAATCGACCCCAAGGAACTTAATACACCCTTGTACAAATGCGTAGAGGGGAGCTAGGCTGACGTACGTTCAGCTAGTCAGGCATGTTACACGCAAGGCTTTCTAGTTGACTAGCTCCGTAATTCACTTTAATAACATGCCTCCTTGCAAGTAAGCAAAACATGTAACCAGGCGTATGCTTGAGTTGATGTAGGATGTGGAAAATAGGGTGCGTTTACATGTGAACATTTCAAGCATAACAAACACCCAGATATATGATAAACACTGCAGATATCATAAATAACGTGACTTAATTAAGACAATTGCAAAATGTGATTCATTGATCTACTGGAGAATTTAGGAGGGGCCCATGTGTTCCTGTATTTTTTTCAAACCTCTTCCTAATTTTAGACTATATCACATTAAATATGTGATAACCATTCATTTTCTGTCTCTCTCTCTCTCTCCTTTCTTTTCAATTCTTCTTCTTTATTTTTGGCTGTCGTGGATTATTCAGTGATTCCCTCGACACACAAGATATATTTTCTACCATATGTGAGCAGGTCATGAAAGCCCTGAGTAGGAATGAAAGGATCAAACTAATAACAAGATGGGGAGCATGTCATGTATTAAGAGTTACCCTTATCTGAACCTAATTCAAATTCTATTTCAGGTCTGAAGAGAGTGGTCTTTTAATTTGGAGAAAGCCGAGCGTCGTTTGTGTAAATACTGTTAGATGCTGGTGCTATGGATGTAATTGTAGAGGCAAATTATTAGCTCAGATGGTAGAGCATCAGTGTATTAGAGACTTATGAACAAAAGAGAATGGACAGTAACTGTGTAGCCCCCCCCCCCCCCCAAAAAAAAAAAGAATGGGGGGGGGGTATAGGAAAATGGAAGAGAGGGGTCGGGTTGTGAGCTCTAGTTTCATTTTCCCCTCTCACTTTTTCTCTCTTCACTGAGCTTTCCCCTTACTCCCTTACTCCCTTTTTACAAAAGGGGGGGGGGGAGAGACACTGCCCCTATCTTGCTTCTAGTAAGTGACTATATCACTTTAATGCAGAAAATGTTTATAGAGACGGGGGGAGAGAAGTAGCAGGAGGCGTGGATGTTAAAAAGCATGAAAAGGTAGAAAGTGGAAAAGAGAGGGATAAGTATGGAGCTGAAGAAAGGAACTGAAGTAAACAAGGCCATCATTTTCTTTTACAAGCTTTTTATTAGCTAATTATAGGCATCCTTTTACAAGTATATGCCATCACACTGCACATAATGTACATTCATTCACATAATGGAGTCATATAGCTTGTATACTCCCCAGACACAAGGCTAGAATTTAAAATGCGAAATTCTTGACGAGCGATGATTCATGAAGGTTCCAGCTGCCTTTAGCCCACTTCAGTAGTTTATTAAGGAATATAAGGTCTTTAGTAAGTAGCTTCGTCATTGTATTAAAACATTAAATTTCCCCAATATTCTTTTCTCCCCCTTGCGCATTTCCATAGAATGTTCATGCTTATTAATCCGTCATTCTTTTACTTAACAATGACCTAGATGGTTCTTGAAAATTTCAGCTGTTTTGAGCCCAGCTTGGGTAGAAAATGCTCTTTGAAAACAAAGGCCTTGTTTTGCTCCTGAATTCAGTCCATCTCGTCAACCATTTGAATCGAGAGCTCCATATAGGAGATCATTTGTCAACTTCTTGTAAAAGTGACAAAACACTTCTTGCTCTCAGCAAACGCATCGATTACCTCAAGCATAGTCATTCATTGCACATGCTTTTTTTATAAGCAGCTGCACCATCGAACTTTTGCACTGAATAAACCATTTTTTGTTACTTCTTGCGTTGATTTTCTGTATAATATTGGCTATTCATCTGTCATACTGCAATGTTATTCAATGGTAAGGGATTGATTGAAAATGAAGACATTTGGGTAGACTATAATCAAACACATTTCTTGTCAAATGCAAAAGCAGGTGTTTGGTTGAATATTGTGAATGCAGCTACTTCTTAGGACTTTGACATCATTTATTAGCCAGAGAGTCTACAATAACTTCTCCTCCTCTTCATCTTTCTCCTCCTCTTCATCTTTCTCTTCCTGTTTTTCTTCTTTTTGTTTTTGTTGTTCTTACTATTTTTGTAAATTTCTAACTTCAGCTTGTACTGACACTATACTTCTTGTGATATTTCTTCTCTTGCTGCTACATTCAATTATATTACTGATATTACTCCTGTTGGTGTACACTAGACCTCAAAACTCTCCATATTAAATGAGAGATCACTAAATCTTTGTTTCTTGTTTAATTCAACTGTAGGTTTTGTCCAAAGACAGCGTCACAGTGGCCGTAGACGCCGTGGTGTACTACAGGGTCCACAACCCCACCATTTCAATTACAAACGTGGAGAATGCCCAGCGGAGCACGAGGCTGCTAGCGGCCACCACGCTTCGGAACGTTCTAGGGACGAAGACGTTGGGCGAGATGCTAACAGACAGGGAGAGCATCAGCAGTCAGATGCAGTCCGTGCTGGACGAGGCAACCGACCCCTGGGGGGTCAAAGTTGAAAGGGTAGAAATGTGAGTTCATAATAGATCGTTGATATATATGAGTTTGAGTTGTAATAAAACGTCAGTCTCCTGATGACGGATAGTCGACCTGTTCAAAACATGGAGCCACTCCTACTACCTGTCCTCTCCAACTGGCGCTCGCTATAGTTCTCCTTATACTATAAGCAAAGAAAGATAACAACAACAACTCAAGAAAGAGTCCTTTCCAGGTCTTCCTAATCCTCCTCCCTCACATTGTGTAACCGCAAACCTACTGTACTATGAAAAAGTATACCAAATATAAAAAGTACATTACCATAAAATAAAAGTCCAAATTATTTTGTTTTAACACCTTTTTTATGTATTGGAAATATTCTACAAATGTAGAACATAGCAGATAATTGAGGAGTGCTTTGCTAAGAAGGTGAACACAAGCTAAAATTGGATATGTGCAGTAGGCTATGTTAATAAAAGTGTTGAGGCAATCTTTGAATACATAACACTCTAAACATATTACCATGTAGGCTTCTAATTTCTAATCCCAGTATTATAGCACCTGTCATATTGTGAAATATTCATGTTTTATGAATTTGTTTCTTTTAATATTTTTAAACTTCTCATTCCCCCCCCCCCCCCAAAAAAAAAAAAAATCCCTCACTACAGTAAGGATGTAAGACTACCAGTCCAACTACAGAGAGCCATGGCAGCAGAAGCAGAGGCAGCGAGGGAAGCAAGGGCAAAGGTAAAGAAAAACACCCCTCTTGAATAAATGGACCCTTCCAGGTGTATGGATTATAAAAATGTTAGATGAATTCATTGCAAGGAATAGGGGTGTTGCCTAGAATCCACTAACTTGTATATACTAGCGCAAGGGAAGCAATGATAAAGTTAAACACCCCTCTGTTTGATGAATGGACCCTTCCATATTCGTGGAATCTTTGGACTATTAGAAGTGTTCATTGCTTGGAATGGGGGTGTTTCTGGGAATCCACCAAAGTTTATATTTTATGGCAAGGAAAGTAAGAGCATGAGGTCAAGCCAAACATCCCCCTATTGGGTCAGTGGATCTTCCAATCTTCCATGTGTATGGTATCTTGATAATAAATAATGTGCAGCAAATAAAATGTACAGAGATTAGATGCTGAAGAATAGAAATGTATAATAGACATGAGAGAATATATCTGATCTTATCCATACAACTACCCCCTAGGGCAACCATCCTCTAGGATGGTTGTCCTAGGGGGTAGTTATCCTAGGTGTCCTAGAACCATCTCTAAAAGTTTCCATTCCTTTGGAAATCATTACCATGGTTTCAGCTCCGTCGAGGCCATTTCAAGCCCACAGTGGCTTCATAACTCAATCATATGTCTTTTGCATCAACAGGTGATAGCTGCAGAAGGAGAACAAAACGCTTCCAGAGCACTCAAGGAGGCGGCAGATGTCCTTTCACAGTCACCAGCAGCCCTTCAGCTCCGATACCTTCAAACTCTCAACACCATCTCAGCTGAGAAGAACTCCACCATCATCTTCCCCTTACCCATCGACCTCCTCAATGGCTTCATGGACGGAAGACGGGCGGAGCCTCCTCCTGACATTGAAGTCAAGATGGTGGAGTGAAGGTTCAGAGGTCAGAGGTCGTGCCCTTTAATCATCTGTGACTTGGAACTTGGTCGTGCTATCCTGGTTTACATTGGTATACCCTCACCAAGCAACATGGAAGATGGACTTGAACCCTTTTGGTGATGACATCATAATGAGAGGTTTAACCCCGGATGCATCTAACCCGTTGCCTACAGGAGCCCGGAGTTGTATTCCAAAAATTACGTTATTTTTTATGCTAGGGAAAGTGATATTAGTTGTCATAGCAAACTGAAACTGCATGAAATAAACACTTACTGTTGTTATCTGCACTAGTTTGGCCAGGAGGGATTAGACCTCCCTGCAGGTTTACTGGCAGGTGGTTCAGCTCTCAATTAACATAAGAAAAAGGGGGACCATAGGGGGACCCATGGGTTCCGCTTAGGCATTGTTGGCTATAAAGAGGGCGCAAGTAGCTTCATATGTCTTTTGCATCAACAGGAAAGTGATATTAGTTGTCATAGCAAACTGAAACTGCATGAAATAAACACTTACTGTTGTTATCTGCACTAGTTTGGCCAGGAGGGATTAGACCTCCCTGCAGGTTTACTGGCAGGTGGTTCAGCTCTCAATTAACATAAGAAAAAGGGGGACCATAGGGGGACCCATGGGTTCCGCTTAGGCATTGTTGGCTATAAAGAGGGCGCAAGTAGCTTCAAGTAGTGCAGTAATGCAGTCCTGCTTTAAATTTCTGCATTCGCAGCCAGCTTTCTTTGCGCAAACATTATCCACTGACTTTTCTTTTGTTATGCCAACTACCATTATTTTTTCCTTATATAAAAAGCTAACATAGTTTTTCGGAATACCACCCCAGGTAGTTTGAACAATGAGCCAAAGGGGAACCAGAGAATTTTCCTTTAAAAGAAGGATAGTCAGCAAATGTTTTTAAATTCTGAGAGTTCCCATATAATACTTTTCCATACTGGTGATAAAAGTTGGTAGTAACAGGTTTTTATTATGCACAATGCAGTACGTTCTATTTCTAATTTTTACCTATCCTTTGTGCTGATTGGCAAATATGGCAAGCCAGTGAATGTGGCTATTGGTAAACATAGCACGTCAAAGGTTAAAGTGAAGTATCATTATTTAGTTCTTGTATGCTTTTGTTATGATAAATATTCTGACTGTTTTGAGCCAGAAGGGAGTTAACTTGTATTCTTTAAAACAGTGTTTTATTTTAATTTAGATTTAATGTGCCCATGGCTCCAAACAGACGATACATATCAATTGTTTGGACCCAGAAGGGCGTTACATTATATAATTTAACTCGAAGTCAAAGCCATGTCTGAATGACCCTCTCGGATGTAATAGAGGATCATTCACACTGCAAGGATGTTTACGGACATACATCATTCACTCCAAAAGCTGGGGTAATAATTAATGCGCCTCAGAATGGAATTTCTAAATAGACGGCGCTATAGAAATTCTTATTATTATCATTATTAAAATTACTTTGTTCCTACTCTCATAGGACTTTAAGCTGCTATCTCGTTAACACAGGAGACAGTTTGTCCACTATGATGGGTAAAAAAAACATGAAGATATTGAAGAAGAATAACAAAAAATAAATCCCTATTCTACCATCACCATCAAGATAGTAGTAAAAATTAAAAAAAGGATCGGCTGTAAAACCACAAAATTTGCATGCATGAATGCTCACTAATTTTGCAAGAGGTTAAGATTCTTGAAAGTTTCCTGCCACAAAATGAACCAATCACAAACTACTGTTACGGCACTAAACTCACGAAAGTTTCTTGCGATGAAAATCACTTTAGTTTACAAAATGCAAAAGTTTCTGGTCTTACAGCATCCTTTTTTAAATAGTTCACAAAATGTAGTCTTAACTAGGTGAATCTGCTGCAGAAAAAGTTCTTGCCACTAGGTGTATCTGGATGAGGCGTTGATGTCAAACCTTTTGTATAAAAATAAGAAATGAAGGGTATATATGCAGAATATGTTTGTGTACTAAAACTGTACGCATGATTTTTATACCAGGCTTATAAATTATGATTATAAATACTGTACAAAGAATATATCAACAGTTATGTTTACCGACTATTATTTGTTCCTCCATTGTATCTTCCTTCTATTTGGCCCGATTTCACAAATGAGGTTTAGATTTAACCTATGGTTTTAATCTTTATTTACATAACCTATGGTCTAAAATTAGCGCAAAATAAGTGCGACACAGTCAGAGGTCCAATATCAGACTCTTTTTTTTTTTGCGCTAAGTTTTAAACCATGGGTTATGTAAATGAGGGTTTAAACCTCCTTTGTGAATTCAGGCCTTTATTTTTAGAAAATTCCTTGATGATCTGTTAATGAAGGGTTTTTAATGCACATTGTTAGTGATTATGCATATCAACTGATTTAAAATCTATGTTCCATGCCAAATTTAGATAGCCATTAAATTCATAGTATGGCAAAGTAGTATTTTGTTTGTGAGAATTCTTAGTAAAGTTTTAAAAGATGTTATTTTGATATGACAACAAAATGTGCATTCTTCATTTTGATACACATTATTCAATATGTGCTGAATAATTGAAGAGTGAGTGCTTTTGCTAAAAAGTATTAACAAATTCCTATGCATCCTTCCTTCATTGTTGTAATTTATTCATGAAAGCTTGCTATAGTTAAGCCTGATATAGCACATTTATATGCATTTATTAATATTTGAAGTGAAAGATATTAAATTTCTAGTGAAAAAATATTGATCACAATGGATATTCTCACATATTTCCTTGAATTTTGTAAATTCAGCCATTAAAGGTATTACAAAGTTTTGGTATGGGGTCATGAATTTGGTTCAAATTAACTTATTGAAAGCATATGCGTTCCTACAATATTCATTGATCGTTGTCCCGGTTGAAATCGAGTCTAAAGTTATGAAATTATAAATAATAAACTCTTTATGTTGTATAGCTCCCTCTCAAGGTCAAGATATCAATTTAGCTATGAAACATTGTTTTTTGACTAAAATCGACCGATTAGATATTCCCGTTTGGAAATTATATATCACAACTACATATTCTGAGATTTTCATGGTCGCAGCTACCACTGTACGGACGTAGGCGCTATTTGAAATTTATCAAAATTTACCGGGAGCACCGGTAAATTTTTATATTCAATTTTTTTCGAAAACAGAAGTGTTTTAGGGGTTAATTTTTTTTTAGTGCCCATAATACATCCACAGGGGCATCCAAATATATCATAATTGTAAAGATTCACTATCCACCAAATTTTCAAATTTTCCCAAAACTTTGTATTACCTTTAAAACAAAACAATCAAAATATGGAAAGGATTAGCTTATATTATTTCTTGTATGATCAAATATGTTTTTTGCAATTGTGTACTACATTAGTACTAGTATTTTTGTGAGGCTTATTTTTTAGTGTTATACCGTAAGTCAAGAACAGGTGCAATAGCCAGTTGATATATTTTACATTTATTATTGAAATAGAATGTATTTATGTGTAGACCACTTTTGATTCATTATTTGAGAGTGTGTTTTGGTTGTGTTTTAAGAAATATAATTCGGTTGTGTCTCCAAGTTTTCCTTGCGAAATATTTTACTGTAGTTGCAGTTCTGAATATGGTCACCATAATGAAAAACAAGTTATGAAAACTTTATTCCTGTGAATGTATGTGCGTGACAATTTATTGCCATTTGGTCTAACATGATTTCCTGTAATACCCAGCTGGCCTAAAATTTAATGGTCATTCTGTCCAAAGACCAGTAAGATTTAAAAAATACTTTAATATTTGCTTAAGGGACATGATTTGTAGAGTTTGGTGTGAACTAATTAGTCAATACAAGAATTTATTGCAGATTAACTGGTCATTTTTTTTAATATACCCTGGTATGTGTATTACATGATTTAATGACTAAAAGATCAAATGCTCATTTGACATTATATTTAAGATCCGGTGTTTATCCTTTTTTTTGGGGGGGGGGGGGGGGGGGGTAAGGGGGTTAGAGATTACAAGCTTTGCAATGGTACATATAATATTTCATTTCATTATGTTATACGTCCCAATCAGTTACATCTTTTGACCAAATCAAACTTGTTTCCCAAATCAATGGTGGTTTTCATGATGTGTTGGGTCACAATTATAAATTTGTCGACCAAATGGTTCAATTAAGAATTTATTGCCATTATATACCCCTACATATGTCGACCAATTGATAGTAAAGCTTTATCTTCACACATGTTCCAATGCCCTTTGAACATGTGTTTGGAAAATGCACTATATAAATACAATATTATATCTCATAGCTGTTGTTGAAAAATGTCTCATTAATTGCAAATGTGAATTATAATATATGTAAAATTTGTTTTGTTATTCTCATGACCTTGATTGTGACCTTCCACATGCTACTGCAATGTCAAACACAAGCTGCCAATTTGGTTTTGCGTTGATGTGCATTGAAGCACTGATTTTAGTTACAAATGTATTTATTTATATTTATGGGAAATGTTGTAGAATCTTTAAAATTCTCTTAAATGAGAAATTCCTTTTTATTCATTTGTAATTATTTGTTTGTTTTTTCTTCTTAGTAATGAAATATAATAGTGTACAAATATTGTAAGTTTTGTAGCTTACACATCATATCCTACCATTACAAAAATATTGTATACATTTTTGTGTGGCTTGTAAATAAATTCATAATTACATACTTTATGAAACTTTTGTGTGTCAGTTTTTTTTCCATAATAATTTGCCTAAGAAGCGATTCATTAGTGGATAATTCCAAGTGGAATTATGGAATAACATTTTCAGAATCTTTTATGAATAAAGAATATTACAAACATTTTTTTAAAAAATCTACAAATTAATGATTTGATTTTGATTTGATTTGATTTGATTTCATTTATTGGTTTTGATTTATTGCCAGATCCAATCAATGTATTTTGCTCTGTTTGGCAATAGGAACTTGTTCTGTTTGAATAGGGGTTGGTTATGAATTTACACACAAAGAAATACAATTTCATTCACTGTTTTCAATAGATCCACACACAAAAAAAGAGAGAAAAAAAAAAAGAAGAGTATAGGGAAAGAGAGGGTTGGGTCATGCAACTATATAATAACCCTATTAAGTCAACAAGACGTCTTCTTTCTCTCAAAATTTAATGAAACGTCAAATTTGCTTTTGCGCAGGAGGCGCAAATATCCCTCCTTCCATCACCCAAAAAATATGCTTAGCGTGCTCACTATGGCAAACGTATTTCTCGCTAGCAAGTTTCTTCATTTTACAAATGTGAACATATATAGAGTCGAAATTACTAAAGTAGTCTTCTTTCTCTCAAAATTTGATGAGACTTGAAAGCTTCCATGCTTTACACAGGGGGGGGGGGAACTCTCACCTTCATACACCAACCCCCTACCCTGCTTTGCAAGCTTACTATTGGC